CCAGGGAACTTCTTCCAGGTCTCCCACACAGGTGGTAGGGGTCCAGGTACTTGAACCTAATGCTTTCCGGTGCATTAGCTTGGAGCTGGATCAGATGTGGAACAGCCAGGACTTGACCCCCGGTTTGTATGGGGCGACTGGCTAAACCTGCTATAGCACGATGTTGGCCGTGAGGTTCTTACTTTAAAACTTTTCGATAAGATATCTCTTATGAAAGGGGAATGTTAGTGCAACAACTTTTTAATAATACTTCAAAGTTTATTCTTTGAATGCTGGGTTTTCATTTCCAGTGATCTGTGAAGCAGTTTAGAGGAAGATATTAGATATGATCCTGTGCATTAGTTGTGCTTAAAACTGTGATTTATAATGTATAACTTATTTTTCCCAACTTTTTAGCTAGCAAAGTATGCTTTTTAAAATTTATTGGATTTGGGGGCTGGCAAGGTAGTCTAGCAGGCTAATCCTCCACTGTGGTGCCAGCACCCCATGTGGACGTGCTGATTTGTGTCCCATCTGTCCTACTAAGGATCTGACTCCCTGCTTGTGGCCCGAGAAAGCAGCAGAGGATGGCTCATGGTATTTGGCCCCTGTACCTATGAAAGACCCTGAGGAAGCTCCTGGCTCCTGGTTTTAGATCAGCTCAGCTCCTGCCATTTGGGGAATGAACCACTGGATGGAAAATACCTCTCTCCATCTCTCCTTTTCTTTGTAAATCTGCCTTTCAAGTAAAAATACAGTTGTAGATTTTTGTCTAAATATTAGATAAATGAGCAGTTAATTCAGAAAATAATTTTTACTGTTGATTCATATGTATGTATAACCAATCTTCAAAACATTCATGAAAAAATATATAATGAATATAAGATCGGATTTCAAAAAAATTTTCACAGCAAAATGATTTTTTCACACTGAAAACATTAACTTGCTATCACGTATCTGGTTAGGATCCAGAGAAGTACAAGATGGCAGTTGAAAAGAGACCCTTTCAGAGCAATGTGAATTCTGCGAGATGGAGAATGAATATCAAGTTTATAGTGAAGGTTGAGTGGGAGAATGGTAAAACCATTGCTTATGAGGACAGTTCCCCAGTGGACAACCTGTGTTAAAGAAGAGATGAGCTGGGCCCTGCACCCATAGCCTAGTAGCTGAGATCCCAGTGGGTGCTAGTTCTAATCCTGGCTGCTCCACTTCCCATCCAGCTCTCTGCTTGTGGCCTGGGAAAGCCCAAAGCCTTGGGACTCTGCATTCTTGTGGTAGACCTGGAAGAGACTCCTGGCTCCTGGCTCCAGCCGTTGTGGGCACTTGGGGAATGAACCAGCGGATGGAAGATCTTTATTTGTATCTCCTTTTCTCTGTATATCTGTCTTTTCAATGAAAAGTTTAAAAAAAGGAAAAAAAAAGGGGGGGGGCGGGGGGAAGGATGATCTGACTTGGTGATGAAGCAAGCCCTTAGTGGCTGACCGTTCACGGTTATTGGTCATTGAAGTTGGGTCATTAACAGCAGAAACAATGTCATGCATCTTCTCAGTTGGTTCATACTTGAACAGTTCTAACTGAGCAGAGCAAGCTTCCTGCTTAGTGGCTGTCCAAGTGCACCAGAGCAGTGCAGGGAAGAGCACAACTTAGGATGCAGTTTTAACCCATAGGTTCAAGATCCTGAAGTGTCTTTCCCAAGGATAGTCAGAGGAGTTGGAGCGTGGCTGAAGCATTGTGACTCTGAGGACAAAGAATAGTCGAAGCAGCAAGCTGTCGCCAGGCAGAGCCAGTGTGAAGGTCGGGAGTGAGGCTCATGGCCGCTGTGGGCAGGCAAAGCCAGAGTGAAGATCAGAAGTGAGGGTCACGGCCGCTGTGGGCAGCATCCCGGCAGAGCCAGTGTGAAGGTCAGGAGTGAGGCTCATGGCCGCTCTGGGCAGTATCCCCGCAGAGCTGGTGTGAAGGTCGGGAGTGAGGCCCACGGCCGCTGTGGGCAGCATCCGCGCAGAGCCAGTGTGAAGGTCGGGAGTGAGGCCCACGGCTGCTGTGGGCAGCATCCCCGCAGAGCTGGTGTGAAGGTCGGGAGTGAGGCTCACGGCCGCTGTGGGCAGCATCCGCGCAGAGCCAGTGTGAAGGTCGGGAGTGAGGCTGTGATGCCCAAAGCATTGTCCTTGTTGGCTTTCTGGAGGGCTGAAGCACAACATCTGCTTGTTCTGAGAATATCTAAGAAGACCAGAGCTTTAGCACAAAAACCTTGGAAATTCTACAGCGTCTTTGTCTACTTAACAGTGCTGTCGCTCATTCCTGTTTCCAAATGGGGGTGAGCTTATGAAAGTGTTGATGGGACAGGGCGCCCATTTTTCCTTAGTAATGTGGAAAGCAAACTGCAGTGGCGTGGTGAAATTCTGAGGGCCCTTAGTTCTTCAGGGATGGGCTAAATGGCTGGTGGCGTCACTTAGAGAAATAGCTTGAATTTAATGAGACTTAATGTAAAATAACTATCCTTTTTAATATTTTTATTGTTAAAATTTTAATTCTGTGAACTTTTGGTATATTATTTTTACTTGACATTTTCCATGTCCTAGCAGTAGATTTTGAAAATGGAACAATTAGTATTTTGTCTCTTTAGAGTATAGAAATAGAAATCCAGAGGGCTAAACAAACTGATTAATCCACAGCCTTGTTAAGTAGTAAAATAGGCGGGCTATAATACTTCCCAGATGACTGCCGAGGCTGGGCTGGCCGAAGCCGGGAGTTTCTTCAAGGTCTTCCAAGCACTTGGTTTCCAGCCTGTTAGCAGGGAGCTGGCTCAGAAGTGGGACGGCCAAAACTCAAACCACTGCAGGTTTTACCTACTTTTCTATAATGCCAGGCTTCTTCAAAGACCTCATGGTGCTTGGAGTGGCAAGACTGGCAGCGATTCATAACTGGTGAACTATCAGAACCACTTGAGCAAGAACCTCGGAGCATGCCCTACATGCGGGACCTGGGGAGGGTGGGAAATTGGGTGGGCCTTCTCCCTTAATACCCCCCTTTAAACATGAAGGAAACAATATGGAAATAATAGTCTTACCCACTTTCCTATAGCACTTAGACCTTTTTACCCTAATTAACTATGTAAAGATTGTAAAAAAATATAATAATAATAAAAAACCCCAAATAACAATGACCCAAAAAAAGACAAAAAATAGATTTGGATAACAATCTGTCCTTAAGAAAAATTATTTTCTCTGTGTATCTGCCCTGCTGCAGGCTCTCCACTTACACTGGAGATAAGCAGGTGAGATGCATGGCCTCGCCTTCCAGGAGCTTGGCGTTAGTGGCAGACGTCTCCCACCGGGGAAGGAAGTGTGGTGCCCCCTACAGGCTGCAGGGCTCCTGCATTCTTGAGGAGACTAGCCATGGGAAGGTGGTTTCCTGTACATGTTCTGTGCTGCCAAGTGCTACCAGAAAAATGAAGTTTGATTTTAAAATATTTGGAACACTTAGAAATTTCTAAAGCTGCTTAGCTGTAGTTTCATAATCTCATTTACAGTTCAGAAATCTTTCATTATGACATTTCTTAATATCTTTGCTTCTGTGTAAGATGTGATTATCAGATTAGGAGACTGCTACAGATCAGACCTTGTATAACCAGTTGTGTTGGCATGATATTTTGTACCAAATTCATCCGACAAAACCTTGGCCCAAGAACACATTCTTGTTTGGAAGGTCTCAGTGTTTCATTTGTTAACACTGTAAGTCTTAGGAAAATCACTGGCCCTTTTAGGTGCTTTATATTGAAATGGTACTCAATTGATCTTTAGAGAAAAAGTGAAATGATACGTGAATTCACTTATAAAACTCAGTATTTTAGCTTTGGTTGCCTTAACAAAGCTAAAATAACCTAACACATGCTAGGTGACTTAAACAGCAGAAATGTGTGTCTCAGGTCAAGGAACTAGTGCTCCAGTTCCTGGGAGGACTGGGCTCCAGGCTCGCAGATGGCCGTCTTCACTTGCAGTTTCCATGCAGCCTTTCCTCTGAGCCACACAATGAGGGCAGGGGAGAGCTTTGACTGTGAGCTGCAGGATTGCACCAGGACCAAACTGAGCTGGGAGCCGGGCGTGCTATCCAGGTCGCCCCCGTAGGTGGCAGGAGCCTACACACTGAGGTTATTATCACGACGTGCCTCTCGGGACCTGCACTGGAGAGAAGATGAAGCTGAGAACTGAGCCTCAGCATTCTAGTGTGGGGTGCAGGCACCCTAACAGCTGGGCTGACCACCCACTTGGAATGTTTCTTCTTAATCCTGTGGGATCTGAGCCATACCGTATGACTTTATGTAATCTTAATTACTTCCATCTCAATACGGCCGAATGAGGAGATGCGGTTTTAGCATAGCCTAGCCATTGATAGAAGACACACAGTGAGGTCAGAAGTGTTTTCTTGTGATGGTCTTATGACATGGTACTTTGTAGGAATAATTTAAATTGGAGGCATGTAGTATACTGTTCTAGGTAGCTGTGCACCATTTGGGCCCTTGCTTTATAGCTGATGTTTGTGATTGGTTAGCTACACAAGTAGTTTAAAATCAAGTTTGCACAGAACTCAGAATGTTGCTGTGCCTAAAATGATTATAAAGATTTATTAACCAGCTTAATAGCATATTAACCTTTTACCACTTCTTTGGATTCCCTTTGCCTCCATTCCAGGCCCAGATGTAGTTCGATTCACATAGAGGGTGTCGATGTAATTCAGCAGTAATTTTAGAAACACATTGTTTACTTTAAAATTTGAATGCATCTTTTTACTTAAGAAGTAGATCTGTATGTAACGCATTAAGGTTACGGAGTCTTTATGATAGACAACTAAACCTTGGTTTTTATGTAGAAGATTTTGAAGCAAGGAAGTCTTCTGGATATAAGCACCCCATTTTTTCTTGAGCATCAGTGTGGGTTTGCGGTTCCTTTTAGTCTCTGCCTTACGGATTGAGGTGGGAGGCGGTCTCGGCATCCTGGAGTGATGACCCTGTGTTCCTCTTGCAGGCCAGCCCACCAGATCTCTATATTGAAAGATTTAATATAGCTCTCGGGCAGTACATGGGAGCATTGCAGAGCATTGTGCCTCTTTTCATATATATGGTAAGTTGGAGGGTTCCTTCTTTCTAAGCGTTGGCGGAGTGCTTAAAAGTTAAGCATGGTCTGTTGTTTTCCTTTTGTATGTTTTATGTGATTTGCATTTTCTGAAGTAAGTTATTTCAGTAATGCTTCATAGTTACAGCTATATGACGAATTCTCTTTTTCCCCCTTCTTTAAAATGTCCTAAGTAAAAATTGCTAAACAGACAAGAAGACATTCATGCTCAGCACTCGCCCAGTAAGCATTTGTTTAGTTTCTGCCGTGTGCGTGATGCTTTCCGTGGCTCTGGAAAAACAAAGATATGTATTTCTTTTTTTTTTTTTTTGTTAAGATTTATTTTTATTATGTTTTTATTGGAAAGGCGGATATACAGAGAGGAGAGACAGAGAGCAAGATCTTCCGTCCGATGATTCACTCCCCAAGTGAGCGCAACGGGTCGATACTATGCCGATCCGAAGCCAGGAGCCTCTTCCGGATCTCCCACGCGGGTGCAGGGTCCCAAAGCTTTGGGCTGTCCTCGACTGCTTTCCCAGGCCACAAGCAGAGAGCTGGATGAGAAGCGGGGCTGCCGGGATTAGAACTGGCGCCCGTATGGGTTCCCGGGCGTGCTAGGCGATGACCTTAACCACTTGCGCCACCGTGCCGGGCCCAATATGTATTTCTTGTCATCAGAAAGCAGAGTATCTAAAAATATGCATGTGATAAATGCAAGTAAGTCTACCCACGATAAGTAGAACAATGAAATACCCTTCTGTTGTCGTGCTGTCTTCTCTGTCATTTCACGGCATTTACCAAGAGGCAGGTTGGGTGAGTGGCTCCCTATAAAAAAGACCAGATTGTCATGGCTTGAATTTAAGGAAGAAGCTAACTGGTTAATTTGTAAAAACAAAACTGAGATAAAATAAGACAGCAAAGTGATTTATACATTCCTATAGTGCCATTGTTACCCTCTTAATCTTTATAGAAATATTCTGGGTGTTTTGTTATTTAACAAGAAATGAACTTTGGACTTCACACACCTAGCAAAATCCCCAGGGGATCTTTGATTGTGAAAACAAGTTTGGCCGCAACTTTCCATTTAGGTCAAGGGTGTGGCTTTGCCTCTGAGTTACTTGTGAAATTTTGTTATATACATTATTTTTATTGTCCGGAAGATAGACAGGCTTAATTTGGCATTACATTGTTGGAAAAATAAATTATTTTAAAACATATTTTGAAATGTTAGACCATCATGGGTATAATCAAACTGTCCTGTGTAATCACAGATACCAAAAGAAATATTTTTAAGTATTATCAAAGATAATCTGGCTCTGAAGATTTTAGCAATCAGGTCATTAAACTAGAAAATAAATTGAAACTCTGTTGCCATAATAGATTCTTTTTTTTTTTAAGATTTATTTTTATAATTGGAAAGGCGGATTTACAGAGAGGAAGATCTTCCATCTGATGATTCACTCCCCAAGTGAGCGCAACGGCCAATGCTATGCCGATCCGAAGCCAGGATCCTGGAACTTCTTCCGGGTATCCCACACGGGTGCAGGGTCCCAAAGCCTTGGGCCGTCCTTGACTGCTTTCCCGGGCCACAGGCAGGGAGCTGGAAGAGAAGCGGGGCCACTGGGATTAGAACTGGCGCCCATATGGGATCCCGGGACCTGCAAGGCAAGAACCTTATCCACTTGCGCCACTGCGCCTGCCATAATAGATTCTTTTTGAAAGACACAGAGCTCAGATACCTGTGTTTTGTTTAGAATATTGGAACCTGATGTTACTGCCACTGAATAGTTAAGTGCCCTCTTATTTGAAGAGGTGGGGTTAGGTTAGAGGTTCAGGTGTTCTCATACTGTCCCTAATTGGCACTTGTGGTTGTTTACTAAAGCGTAGGAAGGGCACATGAAGCGGCTGTGCACAAATATCTTAAATAGCACTTGATGCTGGGAGAGAAGAACATTATAAATGCTGAAGAATTGCCACTGGAATTTAAATATTTAAATAATTTATGGGGCCCAGCGCGGTTGGTGCAGTGGTTAAGGTCCTCTCCTTGTACGCCCGGGATCCCATATGGGTGCCGGTTCTATCCCGGCAGCCCTGCTTCCCTTCCACTCCCTGCCTGTGGCCCGGGATAGCAGTCGAGGACGGCCCAAAGCTTTGGGACCCTGCACCCGCGTGGGAGATCCGGAAGAGGCTCCTGGCTTCGGATCAGCATAGTATCAGCCATTGCGCTCACTTGGGGAGTGAATCATCGGACGGAAGATCTTCCTCTCTGTCTCTCCTCTCTGTATATCCGCCTTTCCAATAAAAAAATAATAAAAATAAATCTTTAAAAAAAAAGATTTATTTATTGGAAAGTCAGATATAGAGAGAGGAGGAGAGACAGACAGGAAGGTCTTCCCTCCAATGATTCACTCCTCAAGTGACTGCAACAACCTGAGCTGAGCCAATCTGAAGCCGGGAGCCACGTCTCCCATGTGGGTGCAAGGTCCCAAGGTTTTGGGCCGTCCTTGACTGCTTTCCCAGCCTACAAGCAGGGAGCTGGATGGGCAGCAGGGCCTCCAGGATTAGAACTGGCAACCACGTGGGATCCCGGTGCGTTCAAGGCGAGGACTTTAGGCACTAGGCCACAGTGCTGGGCCCAGAAAATGGATTTAAAGTGATTTGAGACAGTAAGGAAAAGTCTTGTTTCCTGTAATGAAACTGCAGAAACGAGACCGTTTCCAGGCTGTTGGAGTTTATGATTCAGCAGTGGTACTAGGACCCAGGTTTTGTTTTTGCTTTCCAAACGTGTTTTGTTATATAAGAAACTTGTTCAGAAACAGCACTGACATCCCATGAGGGACTCGTTTGAGTCCCAGCTATCCTACTTCCGATCCAGCTCCCTGCTAATGTTCCAGGGAAACCAGCAGAGGATGCTGCAAGTGCTGGGGCCTGTGTACCTACCTTGCGGGAACCGAAAGAAGCCCCTGGCTTCCGGTCGGCTCAGTTCCGGTCACTTTGGCCATTTGGGAGTGAACTGGAGGATGGGTAAATTTGGAGAAAAGGAAAAGTTTTTCTCAAGTCTAGGTTTCTTTCAGTTTGATTGGGCTACCCTGTATCTGTGAGCTAAAGATGGTCCCTGTAGAGTGCTCCCAGATGAACCGTGTCCGCGAGCCTCGAGCACGGCAGAATCATGACAAACGGGGAACACTTTTTATTAGAGTTTCCAGATGTTGTCTTTAGATGAAACGGTAGTTTTACTTTTTAATAATTACTTGTTGATAAGGCAGAGGGACAGAGGAGCGGGAGACAGAAACTGTCCATCTACTGATTAATGCCCAGAAATGGCCACAACAGCCAGGTCTGCGCCCAGCCAAAGCCAGGAGCCGCGAATTCCTCCCGGGCCTCCCGTGTGGTGGCAGAGTCCTACGTACTCGGATCGTCCTCTGCTGTCTTCCCAAGCAAGTTATGAGTTAGCAAGGACGGAACTGGAGCACTGGGACTCGTGACACTGATCTGCAGCACCAGTATTTGGACGGTGGTGCTGTGATAGAATGTTGAAGGTACAAACGTAATGCAGGGTGTGATTGCCTAGTGTTTGCAGTCTTCTCTTGAGGCGTTTGATCTTTTTATACTGTTAATTCCATGCAGGGTGTGTAACTAAGGCTGGCAGAGTTCATGCTCTCTGATGGTGGGTTTTTTGGTCCTGTGTGATGCCTTTTTGCATTTTCTCCTGAAATATCTTCTACTTCGATTTGTTAGACTAATTGTTTCCTACCTGATAAACACAAAAAATTTTATTTTCTTTTTCAGAATAAGTTTTACATCGAAACCAAGCTTAACAGAGACTTAAGAGATGACCTTATAAAGCTGTTTACGGAACATGTTGCAGAAAAGCACATTTACAGCCTGATGCGTGAGTGACTCAACCTACTTCGGGCTGTCATGACACTTGGCAATATTTTTTACTTTTTCTTTGTTCTGAGAGCGTTGTCATATAAATGAACTGTGATATTAACATCTTCTGCCTGGAAATGTTGAAGTCCACTCTCCTATAAGGAGGAACATTGGGGCATTGTGAATCTGAGTGAAGACTGCCAAGTGCGCCAGGAGCAGTGTGTAGCCAGGTTATCAGAGAGGGCCTTGTGTCTGGGCCAGTGTTTGTCCCCTGGCCCAGCCTGGCCGCCCTAGGAGATCGGCTTTAGGAGGACAGTGTTCTGTCTTTGCAGCGCTGCTGCAGATTCCATCTGTAGCTCAGAAGCCACTTGCTAACCCGGCTTCGTCATTTATGAAGTGTATATTTTAGGCAAGCATCATGACCTTTTGTAGAACTCTATTGGTTCCTCTTTGAATTAGGATTTCTAGACTGCTCCATGTGGCCATGTGGGATATGAAGTAAGCGGATCTAAGTGCCAGCTCAGTAGGTTTCTCCTTCTTCCCCATTCCCAGTGTCCCTCCTTGTAGATGGCAGTTCCTCTTCTCTTCGCTAAAGGACCAGGTCTCTCCAAGTGAGGTTTAGAAATTTTGATATCTTCTCAAAGCTCGTATTTTATGCAGTATATCATCAAATCAGGTTTTAAGAACTTAGCCTATTTTTGAGTCTTCAGACTGTTTTTTTCTTGCTTTCTTATTAATCTTATTCTCTGTCACAATAAACTTTTATCAGAATTTACAAAAGAATTTTTCTTTGACCACAAACTCTTCATTTTAAATGAAGAAAAATAATTGTTCAATATTGAGTGAGTTTGTTTTAGAAGGGAAATAATACAGATGAAGATAACATATGTTTTGTTAGTAAGTTTCCAAAAGATCCCAGAAGTAGAATGGAAGCCTAGAATCTTGGGAATATGATCTGCCTTTTTATGTCATATTTATGGCATGTTCTGGTTGGTTGGTTGGTTTGTTAAGGATGCTCTCTAATGTTGACATCATGCTTTTACTTTCTTTGTGCAATAGCACACAGCCATTTTGAAAAGAGAGAGAGAGAGAAGAGAAAAAGGGAGATACTTTGTATCCACTGGTTCACTCCCCAGATGGTTGCAACAGCCAGGGCTTGGCCAAGCTGAAGCCAGGAGCCTGGAACTCCATCCAAGAGTCTCCCACCATGGCTGGCAGGGCCCCAAGAACTTGGGCCGTGATCTGCCTTCCAGACTCACCAGTAGGAAGCTGGTTCTGAAGTGGAACAGCCAGGACTTAAAATAGCACTTGGATCTTTGTGATGTATCTGTTGCAGTCTTTGCCTTAACTCAGCAGCCCCGCAATACCAGGCCCTCCACAAACTTTTTTGAAGTGTTCTGGTGTATAAAAATACCTAGTACTGCTGAAAACTCAGTTAATATTTTCACATCCTTCACCCAAACCGAAATTTGTTTTGCTTAAATGGGAATAAATGACTAGCCAGAAAACCTTAAGTTTTGAGCAGTTTTTCTCAGTTTCATGGAAGGAATTTAGTGAAATGTTAACAAACCTTCTCAGCTGTAATCTTCTGCTGTTCAATGAAATTATTATATCCCAGATCAGTTTGTATGCACGTTATGTATGTTTTTATCTTTGATGTTTGTCAGTCCTTGCATAGCTGTTTGGCACAGGTGGTTAATTATGCCAGGGGGAGTTTGCAGATAGACATTTGACCACATAATCAGTATGTGATTGAACAGGAATTTCTGGTAAGAACAAGGCTAGTTGAAGGCCTTAGTGCTGGTCAGAAAAGAGGTGAGGTGGCACCTGCTTTCCCAAGGGCTGCCGGCCCTGGGTGCTCCACTTCTGATCCATCTTCCTGCTGTTGTGCCTGGAAAGCAGTGGATGGTGACCCTGACGACCTGGAAGAACATCCTAGCTCCTGGTTTTAGACCAGACTGACTGGCTGAAACAGCCATTTGGAAATCAGGCTAGCAGATGGAGATGGATCTCTGTCTCTTTTTCTCTCTGTGAACGCTGCCTTTCACATAATTACAACTTGGAAAAGGATTGGGGCGAGATGGGTTAGTGAAGAGAGCTTGGATTTGACTACGTGCTAACACAGTCTGAGCGGAGGAGACTTTCTGAACTTAACATTCATAATTTCAAGTTTCAAATGTTGCCGTTTAGTGATTTTATGTGTTTGACGTCTGTCCTCTTTGAAATGTATTATTTTGTTCAAAATTATAACCATCTATGAATGATAAACCTGACAGATAAACCTGAGCAAATGTAGCAGACATTCTTTGTTTAAAGAAGAAATCTTATTTTATGATCTGCTTTGTGTTCCTGAACTGTTCCTGTTGTGCACTTGTTTACCCGTTAATCTTTGGAGAAATGGGAACAGAAGAATTTTAACAAGTATTAGCTGCTTTTTAAGCTATCTTCTCTTCTTTTTTCAGCTTTACTTTTAGAAGCCCAGTCAACACCATTTCAGGTCACACCTTCAACTATGGCGAATATTGTGAAAGGCCTGTATACTCTCAGACCAGGTAAACACTCGACATTTCTCTCTGGATTTTGATAGCATTGCAGTCTAATCCCAGATGTTGGTGTGGACACAGGTGTGGACTTGCTATAGCAAAAAAAAAGAGAGAGAGAGAGAAAGAAAGGTACTCATCACTGTGAATGTGAACAGAAAGCTCCCTGTGAGTTCTTTCTCTGCCAGTGAAAATCAGCTGGTTTGTTTTTTTTACTGCACCTGGGAATGAAATAAATAAAACAATTTGTAGGGTGCACTTTGTATAAAATGTTGTTTTATTCGGCGTGGCAGCACTGTGAAGCGCCGTCTCGGCTCCAGTGGGCCTGTGCTGTGGCTGGCGGAGTCAGGAGTGTTAGTAAAGGCGCGTTCATTTCATCACAGTGTTCAAAGTAGTAGAATCAAAACTGGTCAATTTAAAGAAATCCAGAAGTGCTTTTGTATGCTTCTTCCTGGTTTATAAGCCGGAACCTCAGACTTGTCTACCAGTTGAAAAAAAAAATGTGTGGACAGATAGTGGAAGTTGTTGGGGTAGGCTGTTAGCACGTTCAGCAGCCATGAAGGACTCCTTCTGCAGAAGTGCTTTTTGTGAAAATTTTGTTGTTTGAGAGCTAATTGCGAAACAAACATGATATAAAGAGCTTAACACGGTGTCTGATAACAAAATAACCGTGTAAATATTGACTGCTGTTATTATAATACATGTAAGTTTAATGATTTAAGTGACAGCTTGATTATTTCCTTGCTTAATTTAAAAGGTATGTCAAAATTTAACTTGCTGCAATAGAAACCAGATCTGAGAAATTCTTTTCTTTCCTGTTGGGCTGTTAGAAGCGGCCAGCGACTCCTAGAGTAGCCAACTGCTGTTACTTGAATTGGAGTCAGATCTTGGGGCTATTGTTATCGTTTTTAATAGGAATTTCTTCTGTGAGTTAATTGCTTTTATAAAATAACAAAAATACTTGCATGTGTCCCATAAACTAGTTTCTTAGAATTTTGGATTTTACTTTAATGAATTGCTGTGAAAATGGCTGACAGTTTTTTTGATGCTAGGTTATGGATAATTTGGTTTTTTCTTTTATGTTAGAAAGTATTCAAGTGCAGTGTAACCAGTGTGCCTCCCAAAAAGGCAGCCGTGCCACACTCCCAAGGAATCAAATAGCAAAATCAAGATTACCAAGGGCAGAAGACATGTTTATGTAAACGCTGCTTTATCTACCTTCACATTCGAGCAGTAGGATTTACACTGCTTGTGAGGAGAATCTGTAGTTGGGAATTGTCACTTTAAAAAGGTGAATTTGATCACAGACTAACCTTTTGCCGCCCTGGGCAATTTCAGAGATATTTCAAACATATTTTGACATTTTCATGTCTTGCCAGTACCTGCTATGTTCTTGGCTTATAAAAGCAGTTTCATTCACCTAGCAGATTAAGGTTAGAATATTTTAAGAGCTGAATTTTAAATGAAGAAATCTCTTCTGTTGCCCTGAGTCTCAGGTGATGGTCTTTGTGTGATTTCATTTGAATTGCCTCAGAGCATTTTAAAAAATATTTTTATGTATTTATTTTTATTGGAAAGTCAGATGAGAAAGATTTTCCATCTGTTGATTAATTTCCCAAGTGGCTGCAGTGGCCAGAGTGCTCCAGCCAATCCGAAGCCAGGAGCCAGGAGCTTCTTCTGGATCTCCCACAAGGGTGCAGGGTCCCAAGGCTTTGAGCCGTCCTCGACTGCTTTCCCAGGCCACAAACAAGGAGTTGGATGGGAAGCGGGGCTGCCAGGATTAGAACTGGTGCCCATATGGGATGCTGGCATTTGCAAGGCAAGGACTTTAGCTGCTAGGCCACCATGCTGGGCCCTCAGAGCATTTTTTAAATTGTAGATTCCTGGACCTTCACCTTCCGCAGACTCTGATGATTTTTTGGTCATCAAAATAAATTTTTGATGTGTTTGTGTCTGGATTTTAGAGATTCAGTTAGAAAAAACCCATCATTTGCTTGTTTCTGCATCTTAGTTTGAGTGAGTTCCGTAAGGTGACTGAAAGCCTGGGCTTCTGCCTTGCTGCCGTGAGCGTGTTGTGGGCTGCTCTCTGAGCTGAGCTGGTGCTGCTGGGAGTGGTGGGCTGGGAGCTCGTGCGGAGGGCGGGAGTTGGCCGTGGTGCCATGTGTGGTGCCATGCACGGTGCCTCATGCGCGCCCTCCTGGAATTAGCTGTTCAGAACGTCATGTTTGCTCTTGCACTTTCATTGTTCCGACACACAGCAGTGACTGTAGTATATTCAGATTTTATGTTTTTTATTCAGATTACAGTTTTTTAGAGTGAGTTTACTGGGCTAGCATTGGCTTTTATCCCCTTTTTACAATTTTTGATATGTCCAGCTAAAATATTTTCCAATTTGAAAGGGCTAGATGAAAACAAATTAGGGGAGAGCATGGTAGCGAGATAGCTAGGTAGCAGGGAGTGCTGGGTGCAGCCTGCACCCATGTGGAGGGACGGTGTGTATATTCAACATTCACAGGGTTTATTTCAGTTTCAATTGTTCTCAATATTAACTGGGTAACTTAGTTCTGTTCACTTTCTTCTTGTAAACTATTGAGTCCTGCCTTCACTCATTTACCTAATTATATTGGTTTATACAAATTCTTTTTTTGTTTAAAGATTATTTATTTATCTTTCCGAATACAAAGTCAGATATACAGAGAGGAGGAGAGACAGAGAGGAAAATCTTCCATCTGATGATTCACTCCCCAGGTGATCTCAATGGCCGGAACTGCACCAATCCGAAGCCAGGAGCCAGAAGCTTCCTCCAGGTCTCCCATACAGGTGCAGGGTCCCAAGACTTTGGGCGGTCCTTGACTGCTTTCCCAGGCCACAAGCAAGGAGCTGGGTTGGAAGTAGAGCTGCCGGGATTAGAACCAGTGATCCTAAGGGATCGTGACGCGTTCAAGGCGAGGACTTTAACCACTAGGCCACCATGCAGGGCCCATAAATTCTATGAGCTAACTTGTTTTTGTCATGTCTGGTGCAAATATTTTCCCATGTCATCTTTTTGCCTTTTTATTTTTTATAGGTTATCATGTGGATCTTATTCTTACTAATTTGATAAATATTTAATTCTCTTTTGTGGTTATATACATTTAGTTTGCTTTTATTTGACATAGAAAAATGTTTATTTCTAGAGAAATCTAACCGTTTATCTCCAGCTCACTTAAATGTTCACCCCCACCCTCCTTGTTGTAATGCAGATCTACTGTCATTGCTTCCGCTTTTCGTTAGGCCCCTGCCGAGTTGGCGTGACTGGCTGGGGGCTGCTGCTCCCCCGGCCCGCTGTGTTACCAGGACCCTCCTACTCAGAACTCAGAACCCATTCATGTTCTCCTCCATGTTCAGATTGAAAAATTTCCTAAAGATTTTCACTAAGTTGTTAAACCTGTGAAATCTAGAAATGTCTGTGTCCTTTGTACAGTCAGTTCTTTTCAGAAAGGAAATTTAACTTTTTTTCTGTGCTAGAATGGCACTGCTTATCCCTGTCCCCTTTAGATTTAGTTTAATTTTTGTTTTTGAGTAAAACTGAAACTTTCTGTTTAGCGTTTAAGTCAATGTGTGTAATTTCTCTGGTGAATCTTTTTTCTTCCCTCACAGAGTGGGTTCAGATGGCTCCAACTCTTTTTTCTAAATTTATTCCCAATATCCTGCCTCCGGCGGTGGAGTCTGAACTTTCAGAATATGCTGCTCAAGACCAGAAGCTTCAAAGAGAACTCATTCAGAACGGTTTCACAAGGCAAGTGGATCTTCTTCCTCAGTGACAAAGCATGTCCCTCCTGAGCCCAGGGTGACATGCAGGGGGAGAGGCTTGGGTCCTTGGAATAGGAAACAAAGCTGTGCAGGGGTCAGAGCTGTGGCAAGGCCGGTGAGCTCCTTGTCAGGCTGCGATCCTGTGTGCTTGTCTGGGCTGTGAGCTCCTTGTCGGGGCTGTGAGCTCCTTGTCAGGCTGTGAGCTCCTTGTCGGGGCTGTGATCCTGTGTGCTTGTCTGGGCTGTGAGCTCCTTGTCGGGGTGTGATCCTGTGTGTTCGTCTGGGCTGTGAGCTCCTTGTCAGGGTGTGGTCCTGTGCCCCTCCATCTGCGTGCTCCCCAGCCCTCCAAGGGCTTCTCCACTGTGGTCAGTGTGGGGTCCTGTACTCTAGGCCTACGTGTGGAAAAACACAGCTGAAGCTGTGTGATTAGTTATGCTTTGGGAGGAAAATAGCAAAGTGGATTTAATTTTTGCTTTGTTTTGCTTTACGTTTCCCCTAACTTCTAGCTGTTTGTTGTTGGAAGAATAGGGTATTTCTGCATACTTGTTTAGAACATTTGCCTCCCTTGTTTCAGCTTGCCAATTTTGTAAAATTTTTGTAATCTGTTATCTTGGTCACATTCCAGAAAATCTTGCAAAGTGCGTTTTGCAACTGTAATAAACATAAAATTCCTGTGACTCCCTGTAGAAAAAAACAACCCTGTTTTGTCACCAAATCACTGGAGGTGCAGTAATGTCATGTATTTTCAGATTCTGGACTCTTGGCACTTTTATGTGATCTATTTGTGTTCTTGGCATCATGGAAGCGAACTGTAGGAAAGAAGACACCTGGGCTGTTTGGGCGTGTCTGTTCCCACGTGTAGGAGGCTGAGTGTTGACTTAGTTGCCTGGCTAGGACCTGGGATGCACACTTGTCATTCAAAGTTTCGGAGACCAAATTAATTTTGAGAAAGCTGGCCTTGACCAGATTCAGGTCAGTAAGTCTCCAGTTTCGGCACAGAGTGATAACAGAAGCAGATGATGTGCTTTTGGTCCAGAAATTACCATTTATTCCTCTTCTGTTGTGGTAGCATCTGGATTTGTGTGATAGCAGGCTCAGTTACCTGGAACTGGCAGCCTCCTGCAAAGGCTCGGAGAAGCTGCATTGGTGGCCGTGGATACTTGACTTTCTTGTGGTTGGGGAGGGTGGATCCATGGGAAATAGTGTGAAACAGCTAGTTTTCTAGCAGAAATGGAGTATATTATTTTCATATACAGAGTGAAGCCATTTAATGCCTTGTTAATTTTACTTAGTCAGTTTTGAAGAATAACCATTCATGATTTGTTTCTAGCCTTGTGCTGTTAGAGATGATGTTCTGGTTAATTACCTTGAATATACATAATTTTGCACTTGTTGCGTGACTGTCTCCGACTAGGTCAAGGGCAAATGCAGCTGTAATTTTGATCAGTCTTGCCTGAATTGCCCTGCAGGGGTGATGTGTTTTGCACATCCTCCAGCAGAGCTTCAGTGGTTGTCGACCTGGCCTTGCTTTCACAGACTCTTTCAACACTTGGATTGTTGCCAGTCAAGCAGATGTAATCGAATTAGTTTAGTTTTCATTTCTCTTGTTGTGAATGAGACTCAGCACGTTTTCCTCTGTTCCATTTCTTTTTGAACAAACTGTTGATGTGCTTTGTTCATCTTCCTGGTTGTTTACAGGCTTCCTTCCTTGATTCCAGGAGCTTTGCCCAGTGAAGCCATCGACTGTCTACTCTAGGCCAGAGACCTTCTCAGCTCGGCCTTTGACTTTGGCTGCATAGTTATTTTGAGTCATGCAGAAGTACTTTTGTTTTTGTGCAACTGCATCAGGTTTTCAGGGCTTTTTTTTTGTGGCTTATGTATTTTGAATTATAGTTAGAAGTTTCTCCTTAAATATTTAAAAACTGTTTAAGTTACTTTAAATTCAAAGTAATTTACATATAAACATGTCATCTAGCTTTTTGCTGTTACAGTGAAATTATGAAACACCCAATGAAATATTACAATGAAACTAGGAGGTACCCAACTTTATAAAGAGAAACAGTTTGTTTTGGCTCATTGGTTTGGAAGTTCTTGGCCCAAGATTGGGCAGACCCTATTGCCTTGGGCCCTGATGATGGCTGTGTTGTCGGCAGTCTCCAGGTGGGGGTCAGTTAGATAGCCACCACGGGGGCTGGCATAGTGGGTGAAGCTGCCTGCAGCACCAGCATCCCATGTGGGGTACTGTGTAAGTCCTGGCTGCTTCCCTTCCATTCCAACTTCCTGTTAGAGTGCCTGGGAAAGCAGTGGAAAATGGCCTAAGTGCTTAGACTCCTCCTAACTTCAGACCAGCTCAGCTCTGCTGGTGGCCGTTTGGGGAGTGAACCATTGAGTAGTTCTCTGTCTCTGTCTCTTTCTCTCTCTCTGACCCTCTGCCTTTTTCTGTAATAAATCTTTTTTTTTTTTTTAAATATATAGATCTTTTTAAAAAAGCCTTTGTCACAAATCTGAATCTTTAAATAAATAACTCTTAAAGAGCTAAGGATGAGGGGTGGTGTGGTAGCTTAGTAGCTAAAAGTCCTTGCCTTACATGCACCAGCATCCCATTTGGGTGTCGGTTCGTATCCCAGCTGCTCCATTTCCCTTCTGGTTCCCTGCTTGTGGCCTGGGAAAGCAGTTGAGGGTGGCTCAAAGCCTTGGGACCCGCGTGGGAGACTCAGAAGAAGCTCCTGGCTTTGGATCAGCTCAGCCCCAGCCATTTGTGGCTATTGGGGAGTGAACCAGCAGATATACCAAAAAAAAAAAAAAAAAAAAAAAAGCCACCAGAATTTAATTCCTATATAGTTAAGTTACTTCACAAAGGCCCATCTCCAAATACCATCACTGGGTTAAGTTCCTTCACCCCCAGTGCCATTAACATAAGACTTTGGAGCCCAAACCTAATACCTGGGCCTTTGGGAGATGTGGAAAATCCAAATAACAGAAGTAACTGGTATTTTTAGGCTTGCCATAGTTTTGAAGTCTTTTATGCTCTCATCCATATTTTATATGAATGCTTTTTTTATTTTAGAGTTGAGTTTATTAATAGATATTTCTGAGAAGTCTTGGGATTGTAGCTTCGCACCTTCCTGAGCATCCTAATATACCTTTGGGGACAAGCTGTGTTTAAACATGTCCAGAGATGTTCTGATCCTGTGTTGGACCTGGAAGGAGAGAACAGAGGGCAGGTCTATTTGTATATAGTCGTTCTCATGTCAGGCCTACTTGGGATGTGATGAGCAAGTGACTCTCTCGGTAACCTCACACAGCGTTATCTTTGCAAGATTGACAAGCACTAGCTGGTCAGCATGGCCCTGGACAGCCAAAGCCAACTTGATTGTAGTCAAGAAAATGCCTGGGACTTTTGTGTAAATTAAGAGTTGTGTTACTCTTAGTGGAAGTCAGGTTGCTAGACGGAATGAGGAAGGCCTTCCATCTGCTGATTCACCTTCCAAATGTCTATAATGACCAGGGCTGGGCCAAGCTGAAATCAGAAGCCAAGAGCCCGTAGCTCCATTGGGGTCTCCCTGTGAGTGGCAGGGGTCCAAGCCCCTGGGCCATCTTCCACTGCCTTTCCAGGCTTTTGGGCAGAGAGCTGGATCCAAAGTGGAGCGGCAGGAAGTTGAACCAGTGCTTCAATGTGGGATGCTGGTATTGCAGGCAACAGCTGAGCCTCACTGCACCATAGTGTAGGCTGCTCAGTAATTTTTTAATTTGCGAGATATTTATTGAATGTCTGGTAGTGTGGGAGGCACTGTGTGAATATGACAGATGAGTTCCTGTTTTCATGAAATTTATATCATACTGCTGGGAGACAGTAATTGTAAAAATATAAATACTAGTAATAAATGGTGCGAAGAAAACTAAAGGAGTAGTGAGTGAGTGGTGTGGGCACGAGTGAGTGCTGGTCTAGCTAACTTAATAACAAGGCTTCTTGGGAAGAGACAATTGAGTTTGGTTGGGGACACATAGAAGATGATGCTAGGGTCAAGTGGCTGCCTGGGGGACACAAGCATCACAAGTGAAGGAAATGGTGTTTAAGGATGCTGAGACTGAGAGCCAAGGAGGCTGCTGGGTTGTGAGTAGGGTTAGAGAGTGGAAGCCATGAGGTTGGTGAGAAACAGGGAGCTGGGTCAGGGCTGGGAAGATGAGTTAGAATTGTTGGTTAGCCACCAAAGGACTTTTATCAGAGGTGTGAGCTAACCTCACTGGTGTTTTTGTGTAGGATCTCCTGGGCTTTTGATGAACATGAGACACGTGCAGTTGGATGAAGATTGGACCGGTAGCTGGGGTGTTGAGGGGTTGGTTGTCTTTGGATTGTGTTTGGGCCTGAGTAGCTGGGTAAATGGTGACACCATTGGTTGAAAGTGGAGTACTGAGCAAGGAGTGGAATCAACCCTGTTTTCTGGACCATGAAAAGTTGGCAATGTATCTAAGTCCTGCAGGGAAACGATGATGTAGCAGTAGGACTACAGGTCAGAGCCAGAAATATAGTTCTGGAAAGTACTGGCGTGGGAGAGCATTTAAAGCCACAGGTCTGGTGTCACTCGGACTGAAGAGGAACATGCATGCAGAAGGCTGGCCGGCCTAACACAGAGTGCTGGCAGAGCCACCGTAAGGGGGGTCCTGAAGGGGAAACAGTGATTCAGGGGAAGAGATCAGCTGCATACATGCCGCCAGGAGAGCCAAAAGGAAAAGCTAGTGACACGAACATTGGCACTCACTCAAGTACCAGTTGGTTAGTGGGTAAGAAGCCAGAGAGACAAAACTTTGGCTGACACGTAGCACAGAGCCATATTGGGGCTTCTGTTTCCCTAACTGTAAAGCGGATTCGTATGTCCTTGTTCGCGGGTGAAGTGGTTAATACATGTAAAGGTTCATGTTCCTCATCCACAAAAGGTGTTAAGGTGCATTGAAGTTCTGGGAATTTTAAAAGACTTTCAGCAGTTTTGGTTCCATTGGAGCTTTTAGAGTAACAGTTGATGTTGTCCTTTCTGTTGCGTGTATGAGGTTTTCACTGTATGCAGTTCCCTACAAGTATTGATAGCAGCACGCGGTGTTAGTCCAAATCCATTTCTGCCTCTTACTATAAAGCATCTGTATAGATGTTCTCTCCATACTTCAAAAACCATACTGTTTTTATTCAGGCGATAAATGACTCTGCTCAGGTTGAACTGCTTTAAAACAGTTGCTGGGTTAGAACTAAGATGGCTGCTGTATTTGTGTTATCAATGATGTCATTCCTTGTGCTGTTGGTGTGTGCAGAATCAGATTGTCGCTTTGCTGACTGCTGCTTCTTTTCCTACCCCTAGAGGTGACCAGTCCCGGAAGAGAGCTGGGGATGAGTTGGCCTATAGTAAGTAATGGCGTTCATTTTGTCCTTGAGTGTTTGGTGGGATGGGTGTGTAGAGTGTCTGGGGCACCGTGGTGGTCAGCACAGGCTGCCCTGCAATCAGTGTGGTCATGCTGGTTCCAGGCAGAGGCCAGAGGTCACCACAGCTCTTTGCTCCCACCCAGAAGGGATAATGACTGGTTCGTGCTAATGACTCGATTCCTGATAATCCTGATATCTTTTCACATGGTTTTGAGGTTTTTTTTCTTTTTTCTCCAGATTCTTTTGGGAGGGGTGTAGGCATTGACTGAGTAGCTCCTTGCCCTTCTTAAATGCTATCTGCCATGCACCCTTTTTCGTGTCTGCTGTGCTTTTTTTCCAGACAGTTCGTCAGCATGTGCAAGTTCCAGGGGTTACAGATAGTGAATGTCCTGAGCCTTTTTCCCGTCCCGAGGAGGACACACTGGAGACTATTCAGAGCACAGCGGGGCCTGCCATGCTCAGGCGCGCAGGCGCAGAGATGCTCTCAGAAGAAGATGCCGGACCTCTTACTTTGGTTTGCAATTTTAAATAACAAAAAAACTAACAAAAAACATAAAACAGTTGCTGCTAGACTTGGGGGTGATTTTGAAATGGGACAATCTTTTCATGACTTTACTACAGAGTCTGTGAATAGCAAGCATCTTGGAAAGTGACCCTTGCTAAGTGAAATCGGACAGCCAAATTCAGCAGCTTCCTCCAAAAATATGAGAATTTGAGTGGAAGAATCTCTCTCTCTCTCTCTTTTTGTTGTTGCTGTTGTTAAGCACTTGTTTTGTTCATGTGTGGACTTGGCACTTCAACATATTGATTTCCCATGACGAATACTTTTGCTTTAAAACCAAGCAGGTTATTTCAATACAGTATTTGTAGATATACAATACCCATAATCAAAGCAATTGCCTTTCAAAGACTTGGTTTTTGTTCAGCATTAGGAAGCCTTGTGAAAGGAAAATGCTAACTCCGCTTTCTCCACTTCCCCCCATCAGTTCACAACTTGTTTCTACTCTGTGCCTTGAGCTTTGTGCACTTTGCAGCTGTATGACCGTATTGTCATGCTTCCTGGAGAAGTTTGTGGCATCCCAGACTCACTAACATGTCAAGTATGACTTTGTGACAAGATGCTCATTAAGTGAGGAAATAGAGAGGTGTTTCGCAGTGATCAGGTGTCCCCGTGCTTTGCCAGGTCGTGTCATGTTGGGGACCAGAGCATTTCCATTCCCTCTGTCAGCTGTCGTAGTTTTGGGGGAATGGGACTCATGTTTAGGGGACGGTACTCCAGCATGAAAATGTTCCTTTCAAAATTGCGGGGAATTATCCAGCAGTAAGAACTGTGTGCTGTGACCCGTGAGAAGCAGTGTAGTTCCTAAATCCAGATGAAAGCAGTGCTGCGGGGTTCCCGAGAGCTTGTATGTTAAATGGATGGTCTGAGTACTTATGGCAAGTCTGTAGTCTGCATCTCTTGTATGTTACGTTTGGCTGTAATGGGGAAGTAGTAGCTCTGTTGTTTGAGGCTGCCTTCCAGCTGCGGCTGAGCTGTTTCCTGTTTCCCCACACCCACAGTGCTGTTCCAGTCTCTTTAGATGACTCTGAAGATTATTCTGGTGCTTTTTGAAAGACAAAGGAAAGAGGAAGCTGTGGAAAGGGAGAAACATACTGCTCGAAGTTTTCTTAGTATCTGAGTGAAACACAGGGTTCACTCCTGGGGGCTCCATCAGACTAGTACTGTCCATCTCAGAAGTGGGGTGAGGGCAGACAGACCAGGAGCATTGTCACACAGGAGGTGCTGGGTTCCTGACTGCCGCTGCCCATTCTGTTGAGTATTTTGGGGAGGGGGTGGTAGAAGAATTAGAACTGGGAATGGGACATCTAGTGATTTAAAAAAATGAAAGTAAAGATTGTCCAGTTTAAGTATTTATCACCAGAATTGTGGTATTTGCAAAGGACTTGAATTGTACTCGTTAAGTACATGAGCGTCTTGCATTGTTTTGATGAACTCTGAAATACTTAACTGGGAGAACATAGCAAGTTCTGATTATGCCTGTGCAGCTCGATTTGCTGCATCCTTAACATCGTAGTACCAAGAAGCATCTCATTTTATCATGCAGTCCAAGTTCACTTCCCAATGGAATGCTTTCTGCAGACTTACAGATAACACCCTCACAGAATTTTCTTCTGTGCAAATATTTTGAAAGAGGGAAAATTTAATGTTCCTTTAAATGCGGATGACTGCTTCAGTATGCTCACACCCAAATGTTTTCTCTCGGAGAGAGCAGTGTTTTTTGGCCAATAACAGAATTTTCCCTATAAAGCATTATAATTTGTCAATTGGCATTGAAATCTCTGGATGTTTTTTCATCAAGTGAATAGAGAAATAGTTGATGTTCTTATTTGTGTTAACAAAAAGCGGATGAAGTAAAGTTTGCAAAACTTATTTTCCCTAAATGTTTGCAGAGTGGCTGTGATATGGTTTGGGGTTTGCTCCCACCAAGCTGTGATTGGAGGTAACTCTCCCAGCACCTTGCCCCCTGGAAGTACATGACAGTATGAAGAACCCCTTTTTAAAATTATTTTAAATTGAAAATGACTTTCCTTATTTACTGGGATTCTTGCCAAAATTCTTATTTTGCAATGTAGAAGAGGATCAGTTGTGTCCCTGCCTCGTATTGTCGGAGCACTGTTGGCCGCAGGTGTTTGCTTCCCTTGGTGACTTGTATTGTTGCCGACATAGTGTGCAGTTGCCCATCCGTGTTAGCTGTTGGCTGCGGTACCCGGTCACTGCAGGCCTCGGTTACTAAAGCCAGAATCTTGTGCATGTAGGCTGATTGGCTAGTCAGCACATGCAGTTGACTTGGCTAAACTGACTGACCCATGTATGTTCAACCTGAAACTAAACCCTTAAAATGAAGACCAGGTCAGTCATCGTGCAATAATGATGCACAGATGGTTGTTTTGAGAGATGCTATGGATTTTAAAGGTCAGCCTTAAGCTTCTGCCATGGTGTCACCTCATGACCTTTGCTGTCACCAGCCATGCCCTAATCCAAAAGAATTACTCCTTTGTCATCTCCGGACAGAAAGGAAAAGCCTGTGCTGTGACTCTTAGCATAATAGTTCCCAGTCTGAGTTAGTGGTAGAGAAAAGGCAGAAGCCTGCATACGTGTGTTGTGTATTATTCTGTGGAATACCTGCTTCTGCCCCTTTTCCAAGTTCATGGCAGTTGTTTCCTTCATGTGGGTCTAGGGCAGACGAGGTTGCTGGAGAGTGATGTCTGTGGCCATGAGCTTTGCACTCCCATTTCCAGTGCTCACACCTGTACCTGCTGCACCCTGGCTGCACACTATGCTTTCTGTCCATTTGCAGATTTGCACACATGAATAGTTGCTCAGGAAGAGTTTGCACTTGGATCACCTTGCAGTATTTGTACTGACCACACAAGGCATCTGAAGGTTTTTCGGCACAGGATGACTGCAGAGCTGCGGGCTGTACATATACAGGCAGAGAGGATGGTGATCAGAAAGCAGAACTGGTTTCTGCAGTTATAGAGTAAGCAGGAGCACCTGTAGCATAGCAGTAAGATAATCCTGTTTCCTTTCCCTGTGAACAGTGGCCCTTCCAGATTTGTCTTGTGGTTGAGGCTGGCTGTGTTTTCTTTATCTGCTTCCTCCTCTCCCTAGTCCGACCCCCATATTTTTATGATTATTGTGCAGGAGGTGTTGCCCTTGAGGTAAAATTTAACCTCTTAATAAGCAGCTATTACTAAAATAACTGAGCATTGTTTTATAAATATACACTAATCTGAGAAATTAGAAAACTTTATAGCTACAAAGCAAAGCAAAAACTCCACGGTTAGCTATCTGCGCGCTCATTGTGTGGGGTGTTCTGACATGATTTTTTTCTACCTAAACACCAATCCAAAAATCAATCTAAAAAAATAAAACAAAAATTATTACAATTTCACATACTTCTCATCTCCAACCCTTAATAAATATTACCCAATCATTCAAATTCTCACCTTTCCCAAACATTATCAACATTATACAACCCAACTCCACCATCACCTAATTCCCAAACACCTATTAAAACCATCCTACTTCTCTAATTACCCTCCCCTCTACACATAACCCAACACCCCACCCCCCCAACCATTCCCCCTTCCACTCCTTTTCTATCTAACAACATACCCCATTTCAAACCTTCATCTCCCACCAACCCCCCCTCCCTCCCCTACCCATTACTCAAACCTTATTCCTCTATTATTCTCCCTCCACCTCCTCCACCACCAATTTCCCCCTCACCCCCAAACCTCATTCATTCCCACCCATAATTCCATCCATAAACTCTCCCCTGACCTCAACCCAACATTCACCAAACACTATATTCACATTTCAACCTCCAACATATAAATTCCCCACCCATAAATACAATAACACCCCATACCAGCCATATAATCCACATACCACACATCCAACTTCATACTCAAAAACTAGTGAATTCTTTTATCTTCAAAAACATTGAGTGTGAGTGTGTGTAGAGAGAAACCACCTTGTGTAATCCAATCACCCATTGAGAAGTGACCCCAAAATACCCTGAATTACTCATATTAATTACATTTTACATCAAAATCTATCCAATTTCTAACATAATCAGTCAGTATTAACTTTCCCCCACCATCCATTCCATCCCTTCTTATCCTATCCATCATATAAACCCCTCATTTTTTATTTTATTAATTATATATTTATTTATATCTCTCTCTCTCTTTCTATTCGAGCTCCTCTTCTCTCGCGCTTGATTACCTCTCCAGCTTATCTTTACATCATCCATTATATAACCACTAACTAAAAACCCACACATATATCATACCAACACCCCACATCCCAGTAGTACCAAGCCACTGCCTTTGGCCCTGACCTTGGACTCTGAGTAGGTTTTGAATCATCCTCTGTTTTAAGGTGTGTGCTATCACTCTAAAACCTTGTGGTTAAGGAAATGTTGTGCCGAGGTCTTTGGCCTTGTTGCTTTGTGCGTTGTTATACTATAGAAGATTGAGAGATTTCCTCAATGGTAATCGCTCTGAGCGTCACAGTCAGGCTGCTGGTGAGTGTCCATCTTGATAAAGGCAGACTGTGTGTGTAAGCGCATGTGCAGTTACAGAGCCTGCAGACAGACGCAGTGGACACAGACACAGCCATGTGCGTTCTCTCCTCTTGCTCAGCTGATGTGGTTTCTTTTTTTAGACAGTTTTTTTTAACCTAAAACTGATGTTGAATTTTTTTCATTGATTATAATGTGTTTTTTCTGTAATTGTTTTCTCTCACTGTGGAATTAGTAATCTACATTGGATTTTTTTTTAAGATTTATTTTTATTGGAAAGGCAGATGTGCAGAGAGAAAGAGACACAGTGAGGAAGATCCTCCATCTGTTGGTTCACTCCCCAAGTGAATACAAAGGCTGTGGAATTAAGTTGATCTGAAGCCAGGAGCTTCTCCTGGGTTTCCGATGCTGGTGCAAGGCCACCCCCCACTGCTTTCCTAAGCCACAGACAGGGAGCTGGATGGGAAGTGCAGCTGCCAGGGTTAGAACCGGCACCCATATGGGATCCTGGTGCATGCAAGGTGAGGCTTTAGCCATTAGGCTACCATGCTGGGCCCTCCCTGTAGGTTTTTTAAAGCGTTACTTGACGACCTTAGGATCTCTTGATATCTGTCCGTGGCTGGAGTGTCCTGGATGCTGTGTGCTGGTGATGTCCCCTTTTGAAAGGTGACCACAGACCGTGCCAGGCAGGGATTTGGTCTTTTTCTTTTCCTTTGCGTGTAAATCGCCTGGTAGTTTTCTTTTCTCTTTGGGCCTGGCCAAGTAGGGTGCTATTTACACGCAGCCTCATCTTTTAGTAAATTGTTTTCTGTTTTTCACTGTGTACAGGACTCTTCTGCTAAAACCAGCTTTATGTGTTTTTTATGTGCATTTATCCATCTACTGTCCTTTTTCTCAGTAATACAAATTCTAAAACGTTGAATTTCAAAAAGCATGGTTCTCGAGTGTCTTGCATGAAATTTGAGAGCAGTAATTTTGTCTTGAGCAGGTTGTTTTTTGTTCCCCAGTACTTCCCTGTATCAATGCTAAGTCCTCCCCCTTACTCGTGGTGGAGACTCAGAAGGTGGAAGCAAATACTGCGCGTGTTGTGTCTAGTAATATACCTCAGTTTGTCTATAATGTAAATGGACACATCTACAAGGAGAAATAGTCTAATATAGCAATATGAGTGTTTTCAGTACACCTACCTTATATTTTAATAGATCATTAAGAAAAACAAATTATTAAAATTGTTTGGGACATAGATTGAAGTAGCACAGCTAATCAATTTAATCTGATGAATATATGTACATATATGTAAGAATACATACAGACAAAAGACATGTTACATTACCTTGCACCCTTCATTAGGGAAATAAATGGGGTTTGTTTTGTTTGTTTTTTTTTTTTTTTGCAAAACAGTGTATTTGAAATATAGCAGATACTGACCAAATCCATTTTATAGGAATTCTAGCTTTGTTTATTATTACTAGAGGATCAATAATAAGACACATATTAATAGATGAAAATTTCAGAATTGCTGAAAGGCCAGAAAATGTGCAGGGCAAATTAGAAAACATAAGACTTTGTCAGTGTTGCTGGTGCTAACGTCAGTTTCACTTCCATGTGCCAGCTACCTGTGGTGATGAGTTAAAAGCTTTAATGTTGTTAAGAAATAAACTTTACAATAAGAATAGGAAACTATGTAACAATAAAAAGTTTTAGACCTCAGTGAGAAGACAGTGTTAAAAAGAAAAATCAAACTTTAGATATAGACGTAAATAAAAGGAGAGGATATAGTGGATGATATTCTTTCTTTAAATTGATTCATAAATCACTGTAGTTCCTGTAAAAATCCCAAAGATTTTCTTTGTGGAAGTTGACAAGATGGTCCGGAAACACTGGGTGGGCCAAGGGTCAAGGGCACCCATATACCTACAGCAGGAGTGAGGTGCTAGGGGCGTGGCGCTGCAGGAGTCCAGCATCCTGTTGTACAGGGTGGAGACACTAGCTTTATGGGGAGGGAAGAATTTCGTAATGAAGACACACTGCAAGCCTCTGATGAAAAGATAATTTGGATTCATTTCTAAATGTTTCTACCATGCTTGTAGTAAAAAAATAATAAAAGCCCAAATCTGGATGGAGATACATATATTCCTGGTAGACATTTAACCGTTAATACCTGAATGCAAATCCCTATGGAAAACCAGTTGGGAGAGAAGGCCACTCTGTGAGTACAGCAGACATGTGGCAAGGGGGTGAGTCCTGGAAACTCACTTTAAACATCCTAAGTAGGTGTGCTGTTGTGGCACAGATGTTAAGCCACCACATGCAGTGCCAACATCCCAAATGGATCCATTCTCCACTGTCTCTCCAGCTCTCTGCTAAAGCACCTGTGACAGCAGTGGA